GAGAGCTTGGGAGAGAATAGAGTTCTAAGGGGGTTTCTTTGTAAACCAAAGTTGTAACTTATTCTTTCATTAGTGAATTTCTCAAAGGGGATCACCAAGAGGATGTAGGCAATTGCTGAACCTCTATAAATTCTTGTGTCACTCTGTGCTTGGTTGATTTCTAAAGTGTGTGAGTGTGTGATTCATCCATTATTGTGTTTGTCACAAAGTCCATCAACAACAAGATCATTAGGGGAGTGAGTGAAAGTGTTTGTCCATTTTCACAACACTCATGACCATCAGTCCCCGTTTCATTTCCATTGTTGGCAGATTTTCGTGATTTGTTGTTGCGATAAAAGTATATGGAGATGCACACGTAATAAATTAGGTTAGCAAGACTTAGGTAAGTTAATAGCTCGAAAAAATGATCTAGGCGACTCCCATTTATGTTGTGATGGAACCAACTTCGCCTAAACAATATTATGGTAGAAGCTGTAATTAATTTTCCAACACCAAGGATGAGGTCAGAGATGTGGGATGCATAATAAGTGGCCCTTAGTGCATCATTATTAGCAATTCGATCAGCAAGGAAATCAATCAATCCATTTAGGGCTAGCCCTTCCATTACTCCCAACAGGACGAACTGTGGAAGTAACCACGAAATGCTCATAGTCTTAGGCGTGTCATCTTCAAGCCCTTCTTCATTGCTAATTGCCTTCAACCTCTTTCCCTCAACCTGCCAAGCAGCAACACAAAATAGCATAGAACAAGCCAATCCGCAGCCAATTCTCACCAGCGTAAGTGTACCCGTAGCCTTTCTCCAGTGCTTTGGAATCAGTAACTTGTACAAAAATGAGATTAAGAAACTTGAGAAGTCCCTAAGTACTGTGAAATATAATGGAAGGAACTCGATTGACCCAATCCGACTATCCAAATTACTCGTTTGTTCAAAAAAGAAGGTGCTCCCTGTTGCCTCCACCAAACTGTACGCGAAGAAGGCCGACCACATAGCTATCACTTCTGTGAAAAAACCCTTTTCGTCCTTCAGTTTTATGAGTGGCCAAAACTTTTTTCTTCGTGCTTCTTTTGGTGAATACGAGGAGGACGAGGTCCCTCTTGTGACTATGCCAATCTCTCCTCCTCCTCTTTGTTCTTGTTCTATTTGAAGATAGTCCTGACGAGCTTTCCAAGTAGATTCGTCAATTCTTCTGCTTTACGAAGTAACGGTGGTAGCCATACAAGAACACGAAACTAGTGACTCCCACTAAATTGCTGAAATCATGAACGTAGCTTCCCAGGTCCGAGTTGGAAGTAAAACAGCTAACAATGCACCTAAAAACCATGGAAGGCGCCACAAAGCTTCTTTACGAGTTTCCAGTCGTTTTAAATAATTTTCTTCTGTGGTCGTTCCTTCTTTCTGTTCACTAAAATATTGATCCTCAAGAAATTCCTGCAAGGTAGCCGATCGACCAGCTTCCCCTAATACTATCAGTGGCGCTGCTCCATAGTATACCTTAGCCTCAGTATGTGTGCTCATAAACAGAGAACAAATCCACAATAGAAGCAGTCCCTGCATGTGCATATATTATATATATATATGCAACAAATTAACATATATATATATATATAGGCAGCAAATATAACTGTATGCATATACAATCGAGTTTTAGAGATTTCTTTTATTTAAAATTTTACATTTTTGCAAAGATACGCACACATGGAGATTAAGTGACAGGCGATCCAAGAATAATCACCATGATGCCCGATACCTGTGGGAGCAAATTTCCTCCAACGGGAATATTTGGTTGAAAGATTCATTCGTCTTCTCCGCCTCTCTTTCTCCCTGCAAAACGAATAGCAATAAGAGGACCACACTCGGGGGATGTTGGCCAAAGGCCCTCCGATGCCTAAATTAGTTCAAGAGTTTTGTAAAGAAAACACTAGCTAACTAGGGTACGGAGTTATATGTGTTTTTGGGATGAACCGAGCGGCCGGAGCCTTATGTAAAAGAGGGAGAGAAATGAGGTGGCTAGGGTTTCTGAGAGATAATTTCTGCAGAGTTTCAGTAGGAGTTTAGACGTACCTCAACCCTTGTATGTGGCCATCCTTTTATAGAGGTCTCGGGAGCTAGGGTTTCAGAGGAATAATTCCGTAGATGGAAGAGAATTATTCCTCCCCAATTTGGCGAGATTTGACTAATTAGGGATTTGATTTATTTGATTTAAATCAAATCCGGAAGGAATTATTTGACCTAGAGTTACGAATTAATTCGGCTCCCACAAATGCCCCCCAGCTTCTGCATGGCGCGTGGTGGCATGTAGGAGATGTAAATCATCTGTTGGGCTGTCCAGCTGT